ATAAAAGGCGCCGACTCCGGTGCCGGGGCTGGGTCGCTGTTCGCATTAGGGCCAGCAGAGAGAAGCCGTATTGATTATAATTTTTAACGGGTTGTCAGATTTAGCAAAGTGCTAAGCTTCCTACAGCAGCCTGGCGGGGCGTGATGAGCGCTCCGCTGGTTCCTAGTGGCCTTTCAGTAAGCGTTGAGGTCCTGGAGAGGGTGGACCCCAGTCTGTCCTCAGGGCCCCCCCAACCCCCCGCCCTGCTGTCCAGGCCCCCGGTCCCCTAGGTGTGCGGTGGGTGTGTCCAGGGCGAGTGGCAGGGTTGTCTGACCATTTCGATAGGTGCCTGCCGCAAGCCAGCAGTCAGCACCACCTGTCCTTTCTCTACTGGTGGCACTGAGAGTCCCCAGAAATAAGTTACAGAGGCTTTAGTTTGCCTGTGACATTTCCCCAAAGTCAGAGTGTGTCCTGGGTCCCAGCGGGACCCCCGAGGACAATGCCACCTGCTCCCCTCTTTACAGAACTGACAAAGAACATCGTTGTCCTGGCACTCGGGGAACGAGTTTATGCCCGTGTCGGATGGCCACTTGCTCAGCGGAGGGTGCGGGGAAGGGCTAGACCGCGGCACCCAGCCAGAGGACGCGCCGGCACCCCGAGAGAAGTCAGGATGCGCCCTACGGGCAAACAGAGCCCCCCAGCCCTGCCGGTGCCCCCCGGAGGGCCTTGCCTCCTCCTCCTGTTCTGCCTGCGCTTGGGCGCCTGCTGCCCACAGAGCTGCCAGTGTCCTGAGCACGCGGGGGCCGTGGCCGTCCACTGCAGCGCGAGGGGCCTGCAGGAGATCCCCGGGGACATCCCGGCCAACGCTGTGCTCCTGAAGCTTGACGCCAACAGAATTGCCCGCGTCCCCAACGGAGCCTTCCAGCACCTGAGCCAGCTGCGAGAGCTGGACCTGTCTCAGAACGCCATCGAGACCATGGGCCCCGCCGCCTTCTCGGGCCTGGCCGGCGGCCTGCGGCTGCTGGACCTGTCTTACAATCGCATCCGCAGGGTCCCGAAGGATGCCTTGGGCAAGCTCAGCGCCAAGATCCGCCTGGCCCACAACCCTCTGCACTGCGAGTGTGCCCTGCAGGAGGCCCTGTGGGAGCTGAAGCTGGATCCCGACTCGGTGCACGAGCTCGCCTGCCACACCTCGGAGCAGGAGGCGTACGTGGGGAAGCCGCTGCTCCAGGCGCTTGACGCCGGCGTCAGCTTCTGCAGCACCCACCACAAGACCACCGACGTGGCCATGCTGGTCACCATGTTTGGCTGGTTCGCCATGGTGGTCGCCTACGTCGTGTACTATGTGCGCCAGAACCAGGAAGACGCCAGGAGGCACCTGGAGTACCTCAAGTCCCTGCCCAGCACCCCCGTGTCCAGGGAGCCCCTGAGCCCTGCACCCTAGTGCTCGCGGCGGGCGGCGGCCGGCCCGTGGCGTTGGCATTCCCCCGGCAAGCTGGTGGTCACAGCTGCCCCGTGCGGTGCTCGCTCTGACCGCACTGTCCCAGATCACATTCGTCAGGCAGTTTCGCCATCAGACCCGTCGACGGGGGAAGGAACCTAAGCCCAGGGAAACGGACTGACGCCACGACGTCACCGCCAGGGGGCGCTCCCGCCGGGACTTACAACCAGACCCCAATCACGAAGTCCCGTGTCCCCCACTCTGTGTGCACCGCGGATGGGAATGCACCCGGAGAGCGGAGGGCTTGTGCCCGTGACCATGGGGGTCCCTGAGGTCTGGGGCGCAGATTCGTCTGTGGAAGGCGCGGGCGACGCCGCCCTGGGACCCCGCCCGTCCCCGACCCAGCACCTACCGAGCCCGTGCACAGCCCTCTTTCTGGAGCAAAGTGGGGGGGACCCGCGTTTTCTAGAGGGAAGCGAGTGAGAGGTGTCGCTCAAACTAGCCTTCGAGCAGCTCTGTTTATTCTTAGAATGTTCCAGAAGAGTCTCATGCCCCAATTTCAGTCCAGTGAGGGGAAAAGGTCTCCAAACCCAAACACCACGGGGAGACTCCCGCCGAGGGTCCAGAGCGGCTGGGGGGCTGGGGGAGCAGTGTCGGCCGGCAGACGAGCTCCGCCCTGGCCGCCTCCTGCCGTCCACCAGTGCATGGCTCGGGGGGAGGCCTGTCACCTCTGGTCGCCACTGTGCCTTGCTTTTCTACTCACGGACACCTACAGCAGCTCCTTCTATGGGTCTGGAGGACGGATGTCTGATGCTCCAAGGCCAGTCGGCCAGCCTTCTCCAGCAACAGACCGGTCCCCCCCGCCCGTCTCCTTCTCTCCTCCTCCCGCCTCACTCCCTTTTCACCTTTGCTGCCAGGAGCCTCAGAGCTCATTGAGATTTTTTTACCCGTGTTACTTTGCGGTCAGGGTAGCTGTCACCTCTACCCGACTCGCCTTTCCCGTTCTGTTTGTTCCTCTCTGTGTCAGTGTTTGTATTTTAAATATTTGGGGTGGGGGGGGGAGATAAATTACTGTGAGTCGAAGGCCGAACCGTCATCGAGCGGTGCCTCGGGAAAGGTTAGCCGTGGAGGCCGGTTTGAGCTTGGGAAGTCCCGAGTGACTTGAAATGGGACGCGAACGCGGGGTCACGCGTACGATCTGATCCCGTGCCCGGAAGCTGCACCAGGGACCGGGGAGGCGTGTGCCAGCGTGGCCGCGATGTGTCGGCCGTGGCACACCAGAGAGAATCGCCGGGCGGGTTCGGGGCGCCCGCCCCACCCAGGCCCCGGGCCTGCCTTCACTGGGGGGGGACAGCGTGCCACATGCACAGAGGGCCACTGGCCAGACCAGGAGCCCGGGAGTGAGACTCGCCGCCCCACACGTCCCAGTCCACAGGGGCGACAGCCTCGCCCGTTTCCAGTGACAGCTGAGACCACACGGCCAGCCGTGGCCTGGTCCGCTCATGTGACATGTGCTGTGTGGAGCAGGTGGGCGCTGCGGCTGGCCGACCAGCAGGACGCAGGCTCCGCGGTGACGGGCCCCACACAGGTCTCTGAGGTGCCCCCTGGCAGGCCCACCAGACCGCCTTCAGCCACACCAGTGGGCTGCTGGTGGCCCCTCGGCGGCCACCCACTGTCCTGACCCATGGAGCCATCTGTACCCCTGCTGTCTCGCACCCAGCTGCCACCTACCCCACTCCCACTCCTGGACGTCGGCCATGGCCGGCTGGGCCATGTCCGCCTGTCTCTCTGCGGGGCGGTCACCACCCTGGGTCGGTGGCATAGACCAGAGAGTAGCCCTGAGGGTGGCCAGCGAGACCCAGTGGCCGGCCAGGGACCCGGTGCTCTGCAGTCTCCCTCGTCACTGCAGGAGTCTCCGGAGCAAGTGCTCAGACAGACGCCAAACCTTTGTCCTCGACCCGGGCCGGGGTCACCTCTGTTGTCATGTTCCCTTGTGACTTGTGGGTGTAACTCGTCATAATTTAAGTCTGTTTTCCAGTGCTGGGCCTTCTTCTGCTGTAAGCGTGTGCTCGCGCCCTCCGGGCTCAGTCCCGTGTGGCCTGGGGCTCGCGGTGGCTTGTGGGAGCACCTCGGACCTCCTGAGCGCTCGAGTCCACCCCGGGGGGCGTCAGGAGTGGTGTCAGATGGAGCTGGCATTCCACCCTCGTTCGCTGATGGAGGACAACGGCGTCATGTATTAGACGGCTTCTCACTCTCTTTCCATCTATCATCTATCTATCTATCTATCTATCTATCTATCCATCCATCTATCATCTATCCATCCATCCATCCATCCATTCTCCTATTGTCCATGTTGATGCATATAGAATTTTTGTTTCACTGTTACAAGGAAATCCATCCATCTATCATCTCCATCCATCCATCCATCCATCTATCATCTATCCGTCCATCCATCTATCTATCTATCTATCATCTATCTATCCATCCATCTACCTATTATATATCATCTATTTATCTCTCATCTATGTATTTTTCCTCTATATCTTTCCTTTTTATTTTCTCGCCTTTCATTTATTTCCATAGTTTTTACCTTTAGAAAGTGTCTCTCCAAAAAAATAAATACTGTTCTAGAATCTTGAATTTTAACATCTGTAACTTTTAAGTATTCCAAATTATGCCGATACCATGGTTGAATTGTTTAATTTTAGTATAATTTAACCTGGAGGCCAAACTTTCCCTCATTTTTTTCAAAGTACTTTTGCATGTTAGTTCTTTGAGATGCTCTGTGGATCACCTTGTTAGTTACCACGGCATTGTGTGCATACGTGTGCATGTGTGTGCGCATATGTGTATGTGTGTGCATGCATGGGATGTGCATGTGTGTGTACACGTGTGGGATGTGAATGTGTTTGGATGTGTGTGGTTTGTGTGTGCGCATGCGTGTGTGTGTGGCAGGCCGAGTCGGTGAGGTTACAGGTGCCCACGGGAAAGGCCCGGCAGCCTGGCTCCAGGAGTGATGATCACAGTGAGACAAGACAATGGTGTCAGCAGTCCCCCCTGTTCCTAAGCGGGGCGCCTCGCGTGGGTGGGACTGACGTGAACCCGCACGTCCGGCCGTCCCTGGCTTTGCTCGGGGGCCAGGAGCAGAGGCCCAGCCCGCCGTGCTCCACGTTCCTGCAGGAAACCACGGCCTCGCAGCACTGACCCCAAAGCAAAGTGTGGCTCACACAAAGTTGTTCTTAATCGTCATCTGTCACAGCAGAGACCGTCGAAAGGAATGTCCGTGGACCCAGAGGGGCGACGGGCTCAGCGGAGTCGGAAGGTTGCCACAAGGAAGCGCAACACGCTTGTCAAAATGCCAAGAATGTGCCACGTCACGCCGGACGCAAATTCACACGCAACCTCGTGCCTCCCCGTGAATGTTTATCAGCAGGACGAAAACCAGAAGGGCTGGCTTGAGGAGACGTAAATATTTTCGCATTCTCTGCATCGTCCCCCTCTCGTTAGCGTTCATCATTTAAACGACTCTCTGTTTCCAGTTTCTGTCCCCACTCAGTAGGACACTGTGCCTTTGGCCACTGAGGAGGTCGTGGGCAGGGACGGGGGCTGTGCGTGCCACCGTGTCTGAGTCGTCCACCTCCTTCCTCCCTGGGCACCGGACCCCTTTCCTCGTGGCAAGCCGGACCCCTCAGTGACACCCTTGGGGCAAAGGGAAAGCCGGTGGACATCCAGGTCACCCCAGGTAGAGAGAAGCAGTGTAGGGTGGGGTGCTTGGGGGGCCCAGTTCGCCCCTCCTGCGTGCCTGCCCGTCTGAGCCTGGTGCTGTCCAGGGAACGGTGCCACCAACCAGTGCAGAGAGACATCTCACGAGGACTCGGCTCAGGCGACGCGGAGCCCGCGGGGGGCCGAGGGTGCAGCCCCAGGCTGCGGGCGTCTGTCAGGCCTCCTCCTCGCGGGCAAAGCCCCACACAGCAGGCGCGGGGCCATCTGCTCCCCGAGCCCACCGATTTCAGTGTCCACTTTGCCCACACACACCCCCCAAGCAAAGCAGACCTGTGAATTCACGTCCCAGGCGTGGAGGCTGGGGTCTTCGACGCCCCTGCCATGCTCCCGGCCCATGCGGCCTCCCCGTTCTGGGTGGGCACCCCGCCTCTGGGGCCCTCCTGGGGGACGAGCCCCGAGATGACAATCCGCTGCCCCCGCCAACACTGCTGGCCACCGGGCTGCGGTCCACCTTTGTCCCCTTCTCGTGGGCTGCTGAGGCCCTGCCTCGAATCCCAGTTAAAGCCATAACCACCAGCAGACCCCCAGAGCTGTGGCTTGTCCCCCACTACCCTCTCAGGGAGGGTGGGCAGACTGAGCCAATCCAGATACAGGACGCCCTGCGGATGAGAATCCCAGGTAAATAATGGGCAGTCCTCTAGGGGCCCACAGGGGACAGTTGGGACATGTGCTTATTCACACACACAGTTTAAAAGTGTTCCATGTTGCTCTCTCTGCGACCTGAGTTTACCAGCAACGCTGCACTTTACCTGGTACCCTCAGCCCACCCTCCCTGTGTCAGCGAAGCCAGGACCGTCACCTTAAACTGCTAGGCCCAGACACAATGGGGCCCCCGGCTGCCCAGGGCAGGGACATGGCCAGGCCTTGGGGACAGTGACGGCAGGGATGCGGGGGTCCAGCAGGGCCTGACTTGGAGTGAGGGGCACACCTCTTTCTACAAAATACTGAGTATATATATGGAAGGGGGTCCACGTGTGGGATCACCCCGGGGAACGCTCTCTCACAGGTCCCTGGCCTAGGCCCAGACTGCCCTGCCCCCGGCCCTTTGCTGTCCTCCCTGGGGTCAGCCCCAGCCCTCCCTGGGGCACACGCCCACTTACTGGTCTTAAGGAGGCTCTAGAAAGATCTTGTCTTTTGGAAATGAAGAGGGCCCCAGTTCCAGTCTGGAAACCCCAACTCTGGCCGGACCGGGGAGCCGCGGGCTCAGTGTACGTCCGCTTCCTGCCATGGACCTGACCACGGGGAGCAGGGTGCAGGCTGGCTGCAGCTGCCACTGTGCCCTGGCTGTGTGGTCGCCCCCCGCAGTGTGCCCACATGGCCAGGCAGGCTGGGTGGACAACAGAGTTGGCCTGGCCTCGCTGCCACCCGTGGTCTGGCCGTATGTGGACCCCATGGGCCTCCCCAGCAAAGCCTCCGGCGTGGGGCACCCCTCCCCATTGGAGGCCCCCCGGTGGGGCTGCTAGCCCCCCATCCAGGCTCCCAGGGTGCGTCACGTCCCCCCCAGCAGCCACCCAGGGAGGCAGGAGGGCCCCACCTGGTGTAGGGTCAGAGACACTGGACAGGGAGGAGCAGAGCGATCACTGGACCCGAGGCAAGGTCCAGGTCTGTCCTGCACACCCGCCCGCTGCAGCACCTGGGCGCGGAGGCATCAGGGCCCCACCGAACGCGGGGTCTCCCACAGGTGCAGCCGCTGGAGACGGGACGCATGCTGTACGCCGCTTGAGATTCCCCCCGTGACCAATCCGCACTGTATCCACGGGCCAACAGGCCACGGGAAGGTGTCCCCTGCAGAGGAGAGGTGTCCTCTGTCCGTGCTGGTGACGCAGGACCCGAGGGTGAGGCCTGCTGCGGTGGCAGAGCCAGGCCCAGGACGCGCCCACAGAGAGTCGAGGCCCCACCGACCACGCAGATGCAGCGTGCTCTGTGCCAAGGGCGTCATAAATATATTTCAGCATAAACAATACAATAAATAGCTGGTGTGAAATCAGTAGGACAGCATCGAGCCTGCTCCCTGCCTGGGCTTGGGGACAGAGTGGCCAGGCCATGAGGCGCCACCCCGGAAAAGGTGACAAGGCCCTGCTGCTTTTGAGGTAAAAAAACTGTATGAACGTTTCCCATAAGGCGAAATGTCTGCAGGATGCCCAGACGTGCAGCGTAACTCTGGGTTCCGCCTGACTGCCCGCAGGCCACGTGAGTCTGGCCACCACAGCCACCGGGATGGAGAGATGACAAACGTCCCCGACTGGACCAGGGCCAGGGCCAGTGGCGGGCTCGTCTGCCAGGGTTCCCAGGGCTCCTCGGGCGGGGCTCTGAGTGCGACGAGGCCGGCACTGTCCCCGGGGCTGGACGTCAGCCCGTCCTGAGCCTCAGCACCCGGGACAGCGGCTCCTTGGCGCTGGAGTAGATGAGGTAGGAGCCGGCGGCCGTGCGGAAGGTCTCCCAGTCCCGGCAGCCGAAGGTGGGGAGGCGGTGCACCGCCACGAAGCCTTCGTACCCCTGCCACCTGCGGGGAGACGGGCAGCCTCAGGCGCGGGGGCGGGGACGCAGGGACGCGGGGACGTGGGGACGTGGGGATGGCCCGTGCCAGGCTGCGCAGGATGGGGGAAGCCGCCTCCCGCGGGCGCTGCGTGCAGAGGCCACACGTCCCCGGCCGCACACGCTGCCCAGTCGTCATCAGAGAGCGGGGCTTGGAGCAGAGGGAAGCCGAGTCCCGAGGTTGGCCCTGTCCACTCCCCAGGGCCCCGCCCAGCCCGGCGTGCCTGGGGCAGCCGCCAGGCCTCGGTGGGACACAGCAGAGTGGTCTGTTACATTGTGCTTCATTTCAAACTGAACGGGAGGAAAAGCCCGAAAGAAAACCACGGAACAACTTCATTTCCTATTAAAGATGCGAAAGCATCAGCTCGGCCGTGGCCAGAGGTACGCTAAGGAACTGCACGGCACCAGGTGGCACCAGCCCCAGGAATGTGAGGGACCCCCCCAGACGCCACCAACCCGCAGACAAGGGCTCCAAACAGACCCCGCAGACGGGACACGACCACTCACGTCCCGTCAAACCACGTGACGCTCAGCTGGCTCGCGTCAAATCCCATCGAGTCAGCAAGACAGGGAAACGATCCGAGATTGTTCTAGAACTGTTCTGGGATCGCCTGATTAAGAAAACTAGGTGAACAGTAAAAACGTCGGAAGAGGCAAAGTTGCTTTTACCCGCAGAGGCGGCCGCGCTCCTAGAATTCCCACAAGGCTCCGCTTCAGGAACCTATCGGAACTGACCGAGTCATCTGGTCAGTGGCCAGACACAAAAATTAACTGTCACAATAAGCAGCAGGAAAGTGAAATGGAAAACCGCAGGCGTGGTGCTGACGACGCCCGAAAATGCCGCCACGCCTGGGGAGGACACGTGCGCTTCTCCTCAAGGGCGGACGATAACCGGACAGACCTGCCAGAGTCCCGGGTGGCTCGTTCAGCGGATGAAGCTATGACTAACCCTCAGAGCGCCGTGTCCGCATGCTAGGTCTCTGGCCAGACTGCGAAGTCGTGAGCACCGGCGTGGCTCCAGCCCACGTGGCCGACCCCAGCGGCACGACCCGCAATGTCATCGGGCATGCCAGGCGACCCGCTGGGCCGGAGGCCTGTGGCTCACTCTGCTCCCGGCCTCGGGTGGGGAAGGTGCGCCCACCCCAGGCGGCCCGGGTCGGGTGGGGGCGCGGCCCTCGCAGCTCCTCACCTGTAGATGACACTGTTCACCGAGAAGGTGTTCCCGTCGAAGGAGTTGGCGACCACCAGGAAGTAATCTTCTCCCACCGAGAAAAACTCCCAGTCCAGGGCACTGCGGGAGAGGGGGCGGGCGTTGGGGGGCAGATGTTAGGGGGACTTAGGAGGCCGTGGGGATGCTAGGGGAGGCATGGGGGGCATTAGCAGGGGCATTAGGGGAGGTGTGGGGGTGTTGGGAGTGTTGGGGAGACATTGGGGGCATTGGGGGTTAGCGGAGGTGTGGGGGCCATTGAGTGTATTAGGGGATGCGTGGGTGTTAGGGAGGTGTAGGGGCATTGGGGGCAGATGTCAGAGGGGCATCAGGAGGCGTGGGGGGCATTAGCGGGGGCGTTAGGGGGTGGACGTTAGGATACGGAGCCCTGAGGCGCTGCCGAGCTGTCTTCAGCCAGTTCTCCTAACCCCAGAACTCGGAACTCGGGGTCCAGGTCCCACCCCGAATCTGCAGAGGAGGGTCGGGCCTGAGGGGCGTTGTCTCAGCCACCCAGGGACTTGGTCTGTCCTCGGGAAATGCAAATAGTGGTGCACTTAAAAATTCTTTTTAAATTTTTAATTGTAAAATTCATATAAAACGTGCCATCTTGACCATTTTTAAGCGCACAGTCTAGCGGCATTGAATGCGTTCTCATTATACAACTGCCACCGCTGTGGGACTCCAGGACTGTCGCCCCAGACTGGAACCGTGTCCCCACTGAACACTCCCCCCACTCCCCCAGGCCCTCGGCCACCATCTGCCCCTGGGGATGCGACTCCACTGGGGACCTCGATGAGTGGGACCGACCGCACGGGGTTTGTCCTTTTGTGACCGGCTTATTTCGCTCAGCACGACGTGCCCCAGGTCCATCACGGTGTCAGTCAGCGTCCCTCCTTCCTCAGGCCGGGTGATGTCCCCGCGTGTGGATGGGCCACACTGGCTGGACCACGCGGACGACGGACACCTGGCTCGCAAGCGTGACTGGTGCCTCTGTGCAACGGGCACAGTCTTCCACCCGGAAGAGGCTGGGATGCTTGGGGGTCCCAAGCTCAGAGTCACTTGCCGAGGACTCGCAGCGCCCCGAGGCGGGAGCTTGCAGACGCGGGCCGGGAGGTCGCCTGTTTGCCCCCGGCCCGTTCCCCGATGCCGGTCGGTGCCGACATAGAAACGCCGCCCCGCGCTTGGAAGCTGCATGCCTGTGGGGGCGACATTCTGCTCTCGTCACGGACCTCCTGGCCTCCGAGGGCGAGTCTGTGCAGAGACAGTCATTTCTGGGGCACCTGCCAGTGGCTTCCTGGAGGAGCTCCCTCGGCTCCCCACCCCCCACCCCCGTCACCTCACTGATGGCTGCGGGCCCCGTGCCCGCTTTACAGATAAGGAAATGGGGGTGGAAGCCACACAGCTGGTGGGAGAAGGCCTGATGCCAAGCCAGGCCGGTGCGTCTGCGTCTGCGTCTGCGTCTGCGTCTGCGTCTTCGTCTGCGTCTGCGTCTGGTGGCCTCGGGCCGTGGCCCGTTCAGGCAGCAGGAGGCCACCCTCTCCT